AAACAGCTCGGGGTAGTGGAGACACACTCACAGTCCTGCTTGTATGGAACTAAGATGGCACGAGTTCTTTAAATTTTAAATGTCCCCGCAGTGAAATGGAAAACTGTTTTTAGAAATGAGTGGGAAATCCATGTCTCAGCAACTTGGGGTGCGACAGTGCGACAGTACATTTTGGTCAGTTTTGGTTCATTGCTGCTGAGCACCTCTAGTCATTCAGAATTCGTGCAAAATCAAGGCATCCCACTCATGGATGTCCTGGTTACAGCTCTTTATGGTCTTATGGGTCTTTGGGGGCTGTTTCAGATAGTAATTGTCACTTTCATCTGCGGATGGTTCTTTTTTGATAGACCCAATGGGAACTCAAAAGTGACCACATAAGTAAGATGCTGAGCTTGTTTCCAGGACCCCGCATGTTCCACCTCCACCATCGAATTTACACGGCGGTTCCAACCCATCCGAGACATAATAGTGTAGAAGTCCCCAATCTTCTCAGAGGGTCAAAAGAAAGAATATTGTCCCGCCCAGCACTCTATGCTTTGCCTTGCTTACTTTTTTGAACCCCAAACTCGAGACCTTCATTTTTTGTGGTTTCAACAATTAAATCCGCGTGTTCGCCGGTAAATCTTGCATGTTTGTGGCTTGAGTCAACATCTTTGTTGGTGAAACCATCGTTTTTCGCTGCTGAAATCCCCCAAAAAAAACTAACACATCTTGTTCCAGGTACCCTCCGGTAAATTAACAGTTCGACCCTGGCAGTCATCGGGCTTGGAAGACTAGTTTCCTCTATAAAAATGGGTGATTTTCAGGGTCCAACTGTTAATTTACTGGAGGGTAAATCCACTAACATCTACTAACATCCCTGTTTTTTGGTTGATTAAATTCCTATAATCACCATTAAATCCCATTAAACCATATTAAACCAACATGTTATAACCCTGGCGAAATCGGAGCTGGTCGTGGCAAAATCCCGGTCCTCGTGACCCGCGTCTCCAGGTGCCTCGCCTTGCGCAGGACCTCTGGGGAATGACCCCGCAAACCTGGCAGTTTTTCAGTGGTGACCTTAAAATGGTGGAAGAAAAGTGATGGGAAAATATGGTGGGATATCTGTATATAAATGTATATATATATACATATCTATAATATGATTATTATTAATGATTATATTATACATATCCCCCATCAATGATGATACCCTCTGGTAAACTAACCTAACTGTGGAAAATCACAATTTTTCATGGGAAAATCCACTATTTCTATGGTGATTTTCCATTGCTATGTAACAAATAACCAGAGGGTAGCAGAATATTCTTGGAATATCTATATCTATAAATATATGGAATATTGATGGGAATCTTGTGGAAATTCATGGGAATATCTATATATATACATATCTATAATATGATTATTAATATGGAATATGATTATTAATATGGAATATGTCTATATATAATATGGAATATGATTATTAATGTTCCAATGGAATATATGAATTATGAATATGGAATCTGAGTGGACATATTCATGGAATAGTGGGAATATGAATGGGAATGTTAATGGAAGATTAAGGGAATATTAGTGGAATATGAGTGGAATAACCAAGCAAAATGCTGGAATACTCATGGAATATCAGTGGAAAATGAATGGGAAGGTTAGTGGGAAATATCATCCCACAATTTGTGACGTTTTTTTGAAGGGAATTCATGGAATCTGAGGGATTTTTATTCATGGAATAGTGGCGTCCATACCAAAGGGTAGTGTGATAAACCAAAAAACAAACATACCATTGATCAACCAGTTGGGTGTCATTTCAAACATGTTCAAACCATCTCTTTTTTAAAAGGGTAGAGTATATATAGATATATATAGAGTGTAAACCCAATAAAATTTAGCCCAATCGGGGATGATTGGGGATGGTCATTGAGATTGGGTTTAACTCATGAATAAAACTTAAGCATTTGGGGATGGTTGGAATCCCCCCATCAATCTGGGTAAATTATAATATTTCACTAACATGAATTAAGGCTATCTTGGAGATGTTGCCCCTTACTAACCATGATTTCTAGTGAGGTCGCAGTGAGGTCGTTATAATTTAGCCAGATCAATGATGAAAACTCGCGGTTTTTTGTTTACGGATTCCCAGTCATCATGGAAGGGCTGGAGGGCCATGGGATGTGCATCCCTTTTTTGGTTGGTTCAGAATGGGATTCCCACTGGATCATGACACCAATGTGATAATCTCCAATAAATTCGGTGGTTTTTCTCCCCTACAATCATCAACCAAGCTTTTTTTTACACACTGCTAACTTCAAATTCAAGCTATTTTTATATGTTTGGATATGTTTGGTTGTAATGATACTTCACCTTGTCTAATAAATGCAATCGTTCACGGTTATGGGATTATAATGTAGGTGCTGTATATAATATGTAAATCTGTATGGTGAATTGGATTGTCATTATGATAGTTGGAATTACTATTCTCCCGCTGGGAATTGATATACCTAGAGATGTGGAAATTCGAATACCTGGGTCATGTGTAAAAGGGAATGCAAAATACCTGGGAATATCATAGCTGGAATATTATATATTTATATATATTTATACCGTACCTGAGACTTTGTAAGGGGGATCGTTGTACCTGGGCTTACTTGTAAAAAGGGAATCACTTGGAAGTTTGTCTGAAAGTAACATTATAAATGCAACTATTCACTATCCCTGGAATTTTGATGCAGAGTGGGTCGAATCCATTGACCTGCGAGTCTTCCAGTCTGAATGTACATTTTCATGGGATTAGAAAATCGGAGTGCGCTGACGACCTGGGACTATCGTATTATACTGTGGTAAAATCTATGGTTGTTACCCTCTGGTAAACGTTTACATAACTATGGAAAATCACCATGTTTTCAATGGGAAAATCCACTATTTCTATGGTCATTTTCAATAGCTATGTTAGTTTACCAGCGGGTATCTATGGTTGTTAGAATGGGAACTCCAAAAAACAGGCTGTCCAGTTGTCCATTTGGACAACTGGGGGAAGTTCACCGTAAGCCATGGCCATGAATCAACCGATGTTTTTCGGGGTATGCTCCTGGATGTCTATCCATCCCAAAAAAAGATACTGGTACTTACATGGCAGTGTGTCAAAACCTTGTACCCCTGGTGAACATCAAAATAGCTGGTAAATGGATTTTCATCCCCCTAAAAATGGTATTAATAGGTATTGATCCATACTTACATGTTCCCCCTGAATATGGCTAGTATAGGAATTGTCCCATCGCCAATTTCATGGGTATGGCTCATAATTTAAGCCCATTAAAAAATTGGATGGTTTGCAGTTGACATACCCTTTGGTACCCTCTGGTTATTTTACATAGCTATTGAAAATGGACCATTTATAGTGGATTTTCCCATCAAAAATTGTGATTTTCCATAGCTATGTTAGTTTACCAGAGTTGATTTTCCCAATAAAACCTCCATTTATAATGGATTTTCCATAGCTATGTTAAATTACCAGAGGGTACCCTTTGGTAATTCAACATAGCTATTGAACATTTTTTTCTGAGCTCGCGGACGTCGCGTGGGATGGAAGTGAAAGGACGCCTCACAGGAGGCTACGAAAGTACAGAGACGTCGAGAGAGGTCTCTAGGTGACTTCTATGGTCTACGGTAGATATATCTATAGTATATCTATAGTATATCTATAGTATATCTATAGTATATCTATAGTATATCTACAGTATATCTATAGTATATCTAGAGTATATCTATAGTAATCATGGGGTTTATAAACCCACCCCTAAAACTGGGGCACCACCTTGTACGTATGCACGTGTATGTGCGTCTATGTATGTACATGTAAAGATAATCATAGGTCGTGTATGTATATATATATATTACTATATTAGTAACAGGGAATATATATATATATTACTAATATCATGTATATATAATTACTATTTCTATCTATACATATATTGCTATATTAATCTTATATTTAGAAGGAGACATACGACTCTACATGAAATCCGGTCATCTTACTGAATAAAATCCGGCAGGAGACCATCAGGTCGCCGGCTCAGGTCACCAAATCCTGATTACCCTCTGGTAATTTGTTACATAGCTATTGAAAATGACCATTAAAAAAGTGAGTTTTCCCATGAAAAATGGTGATTTTCCATTGCTATGTTAGTTTACCAGAGGGTACCAAACCATTTCATAAATAAACCAGTTGGTCCATATTATGGTATAAATAGTGTAAATAAACTACAAAAAGGCTACTGGCATATTATTTCTATAATTATTTTTTCCAACAACAACAACATCTATTGTGATCATTCTGATGATTCTTTGAAACCAGCATATGAAGTTCCAAGCAATGTATATCAATGTATAATATATTGGCAAATCATACCCGGTTTACCAATTCTGCGACCAATCCCGGCTTCAGCTGCAGGGCTGCCTGAGGAATGATCTCATGGGTAATGACTTCCGAGTACGCTCGAGGAAAAGCTGGAATGCTCCTAGAGTGGGAGTGGCCTTTCGGAAAGGTCAAAGTGGAATGGGATCATCATTCCAAGGTCGAAGTGGTCAGTAAAAGAGAGTGTTACCCTCTGGTAAACTAACATAGCTATGGAAAATCACTATTTTTAATGGGTAAATCCACTATAGATGGCCATGTTCAATAGCTATGTTAAATTACCAGAGGGTAGGTGACATGGTACATGAGATTTGGGCAAATTCTTCAAAACGTCTTGAAACCAGAAACTGGGAGTAGGCAATGATGGAGATGTAGACACTCATGGATGTGTTTTAGAGTTAGAGAAAGCATCATTGAAATCAACCTCACAACTCCATGTTTGACAGAGTCATTATAGTTGGAGCATGTTGATAAGTCTAACATATTCTAAGTATCCACATATTTCAACTATTACAGTATAACTACGTATATATAATGGCTGTATCAATCTTCAGGCAGGGCCACATCCACAGATTCCACGGCCACATTTTCGCCGGGCGCAACTTGCAGTGGCCGAGGCCAAGGCCTGAGTCAACAGGCCATCAGTCGGGGAGAAGTTGATGTCTTGATGTTGTAAAGATACACAGATGTATTGTCATAGTTATTGCTGTATACGACATATATACATATATATATAGTTATGTATATAATTATATATCATTATGTATCTATAAATACATACATGTGTACAGTACTGCGTACATGTATGTACTGTGTATATATATATATGTATAGTTATATATATATGTATAGTTATATATATAGTTATATATACATAATATATACATTATGTATTTACACTACACATATTTGTGCAGTATATATATAATATGTGTGATTGTATGTATGGATGTAGCTCTGTGTATACAGAAGGCTCCGAGTGCATGCACGGGTATATCATGAAGTTGTCAAACATTGGGGTGCGGATCTCAAATTTCAGCCATGGGAGCCCTGCGGCAAAGCAGCAGCTTCAGCTATCTTTGGCATCTTTACCTGCGGCCCAAGCTGGGGGGTGTCCCAAAAATGCAAGGTGAACCAAAAAATGCTACTCAGTTGATAGCCATCAGGTTTTCCCTGTAGGACTAGATCTGTTATTCTTGTTGTTGGTTGGTTGGGTGGGTGGGTGGTGGTGGTGTCAACCCTGAAACATTGGTGCAATGGTTGGGGATCAAATCGAAGATCAAAAACATGTACCGGTACATGTTGATACTACTGTAATTGACTGATTTGGTAAATCGATTATCGTAAAAACAGCAAGAATTTCTACATGCTGTCCAGCGTTTAATATGTTGCATCCTAAATGCCCCAGACATACCAAAAAAAAATACGACATCTTGCCACCAAGAAAAACACATCAAAAGGTCCCGCCAAAAAATACAAATCCAAACCCCAAAATACCCAAACCATGCAAAAAAAATACCAAAATACACCCAACAAAACCCTAAAGTACCACACACAAAAAAAACATCCCGAAACCGTTGGCTTCTTCCCTCTGCCCAGGCGCGCCTCGCGCATCCTCGCCTCGCCCAGACCGCAAACACCGCAGCGCTGCTGCAGCCTGGGATGGCGGAAGATCTCTTAAAAATCCACTCGCACCGAAGTTGCATTTTTTGCGTGCACACGTTGATCGGAAGCAATTGCGCAATTGCAATAGCTATTAAGCTTTGGCTTTGGGGGGCTCGGCTAGGCTTTCAAGATCTTTCAAGTATAGGTCCGACATGGAGGCCTAGCATTAGCACAAGACAGACCATGTAGGCCCAAGATGGGCCTAACATGGGCCCAACATCCGCCAAGATAGGCCCAAGAACGGCATAACATTACCTATATTGCCTGAACATAGGCTCTCCCCTTCACATCAGCATAGATCGTTCAATGCTAATAACAAGCTCCTATTTCAAGTTGTTCGAAGGAATAACAATAGCACAGCCAAAAGCACGGCAAAAGAACATGTGTGTGTGTGCTTGTCATGTTCACGCCTGTGCCAAACCTAGATTGAACCTATGTTCAGTTTTTATTGGTCTCATGTTACGATATTAATTAGTCAGGGTGCATTGCGTTCCTGGAATTCCCACATTGAGCCATGTTGGGTTGATTGCTGGTGTCTTTGAGGTTTGTTTTGCAAAGTTTGCGCTATTTTGGAAGGATGCAACGGGTTTGGGAAGGTTAGCATACACTCGGGAAGGGTTAGCATACACTCAGGGAGGGTTAGCATACACTTGGGAAGGGTAAGCATACACTCTGGCAGGGTTAGCATACACTCGGGAAGGGTTAGCATACACTCAGGGAGGGTTATCATACAGTCTGGCAAGGTTAGCATACATTCTGGCTCGGTTAAAACAAAAGAAATAGGATATGTTTGGCACTTACACTTGCATGCTATTGTCGCAAACATATCCCTGTGCTTGTCATGGTTCTTAATATTCTGTCGTTCTCAATATGGGGATGGGTCAAAACCCTGGTACCTTTTGTTCACCCCAAGTCATAGCTGGGTTAAAATGGATGTGAATAACCCACTAAAAATATGGTATCTATAGGTATTGACCCATACCCAACTATTATTATTACAACTATAATACCCTCTGGTTATTTAACATAGCCATGGAAAATGGCCCATTTATAGATGATTTTCCCATTATCTTGTCAAGGTTCCTGAAATCATAAACCATGGTTTTACTGAACCAAAACGCCAAAATTAAGTCCAGTAATGTCCCAACATGCCATGGCTTCCAGCAGGGTTCGCTGACACCAGTCGACACCATGGGCACAAATGGATGTGGGTCAAAATGGAAGACCATTAATGGGACCACAGATGTGAATGTCTAGTTTAGTATTAACCATTCAATTATTGGGGTACCTAATTTTGACCCATACCCAAATAGCTGAATAATGCTGAATATAGCCTCAACTTAGGCTCAACATACACTAAGCATTGCCCCAAAAGCAACAAATGAGCCCAACATAAGCCAAAAACAAGCGCCCACAAGGATGTCCAGGAGCGTCTTGGAACTTTGTAAAGTCTGTATTCTATATCCAGGACCTAGGATATCATTTAGAAGTACCAGTATCTAGACTTGTCCGGGAAAAAAAAAACGCAACAATAATGGTTTCACAAAGTTTAAGGAACCAAACTTTACGGTCTTACTGTGATTTAGTCTTTCTGTGAGAGCTCACACGTTGTACGTGGAGCAAACAATTCCGCTGCGGGCGGTTGTCGTCCAGAAGTCCAGAAGCGACCAAAATTTACGAGAAACTAGGGAAACTTATGGGAAAGTATTAGAAAAAATGATCAGAATGAAAGAGTCTTGATGATGTGGGTGGAAGACACCGAAACATATGGAACATATTTTGGAAATTACAAAAAATATGGAGAGTGCAGAAAGTGTGGAAAGATAAAGATCCATACAGATGGGTAAGACTCACCCATCAAGATGCAGAGAAACGTTATGGATCTGACATGATATGACCATCTGGAGACCAAAGTCAGCTCCATATAGACCTCCGTCTTTAGCCAAGGAGCGAGAAGCAAAGCGGAAACCGCTGCCAATGGCATGGCACGATTCGCACTAAAATCACCTGCAGGTGCTACTGCTCATCGATTGGAGTCATACCCCAAATCATCCAATTCGACCATTTTGCTATTGAAACCCATGGTGACTTGGGGATCGTTCATTTTAAGAAACCCCCATGTAGTGTATGCGTGTAAATGATTGTAAATGCACATTCAGGCAAACTCCGTGCATGAAACTGCATCTATATGACATCTCCGAATCTTCGTAGTCGTGATATGGAAAGTTCCATCTGAACATATCTGAACTGAGGCTTGACTGATCAAGTCATCCATGGGTCTCTCAAAAGATCTTTCCTGGTGTTACCCTCTGGTAATTTAACGTAGCTATTGAAAATCACCATTTTTAATGGGTAAATCCACTATAAATCACCATTTTCAATAGCTATTTTGACATTACCAGAGGGTAGGTTTTCAAGATGTCCTTGGAGTTTCACACTATCCCCTGCAATAGGATCATCATAGATCATCCACACATTGTATATGGGGATGGGTCAAAAGCCTGGTACCTTTTGTTCACCCCTAAAAATAGCTGGGATTTATGGATGTGAATAACCCACTATAGTAATGTATCTATAGGTATTGACCCATCCCCATATAATCATTGTATATTCTATGCAATTCCAGTGATTTTTTTATTTACTGACATCTATAAACAAAAATCACCCAAACCTAGGCAAAAACAAACTCGCTGCATGCCCTCAAATTCACAGTCCAGGGTGCACCTGACAGCCAGTGCCCTTAGTTTTGGTTGCTTGGAAGATGGACTGGAAAGATGCCCCCGTCCCAATGACATTCCGCAACAACTGCATCAACTCAAAGATTTCGCATACCCAATGGTGATATCTACAGCAGAACAATCCAGATGCATCCAGATTTGCTACTAGAGGATCCAGATATAAGTCTGGCAGAGTCCAAGGTTCAGGGTGTTCTGCTTCTGAATATTCATGCGTACAAAATTCAGGTCTTTGCAACCACCCGCGCTGCCCTAGAGGCACCCCCATCATTTGGTATGACCAAGAGTCTTTCTTCGTGCCACCTCAAACGCACCCAGAAACATCACGAATCCAAGGACCCATCTTAGTACAGCTGACAGAACCTTCCAGGCTTGATTCATCTTGATTCCATGTTTCATTCCCACCTGCCAGGTGAGGGTCTCTAGATTTTAACATATTTTAACAAAGGTGCAATGTGTTTTTCTCCCCTCCTCTTCTCCTCTTCTCCTCTTCTCCTCCACTCCGTGACTGTGGGCACCAATGGACCCGGAGAACCCTATCGCGAGCTCTGGATGCAGTGGAGCGCACCTAGACTCATGCCAGAGAGAAGGTCAGAATATATGTCAGAATATGTCAGAATGTCAGTTGGCGGGGATCACTCGGAGAAAGTGTTCTTTTAGATGCCACGAATCTGTGATGCAAAGTCTCCTTTGGGATTTGGGTAGGTCGTGGTAGGATCCGCCTTCTCAGAGTGCCTAGGCACCGGACTCAGGACTCGAGAATTCTTGACCTGTCGGGTGGGAAAGCCACCAAGATTCGGTGGCTTCATCGTGGTTCATCATCTCCCCATATTTCCCCTATGAAAATGGCCATGTGGATTATTTCAGGTGGTATAGATGGAAGATGATGGAAGATGATGGAAGTAAAGAAAACCTACAACTGAAACCCATCTTCACTACGCCAACGAAACACGGTGTTGCCTTAGGAAAGGGTGCGAGTAGTGCAGGATCACAAGACAAATGCAGCAAGGGCCGGGAACAGAAAACATGGGATATCCAGATATCCAGATATCCAAAAGGATTACCCACTGGTAATTTAACATAGCTATGGAAAATCACCATGTTTAATGGGAAAATCCACTATAAATCACCATTTTCAATAGCTATTTTGACAAAACCAGAGGGTAGCCACCTCTGGATTCGCTGGGATTCCCCGCGAAGATAAGCCAAGATGGCTGCTCGCTTGAAATCATCATCGCTCCTGGTGGATAGGAGGTGGTCCGAGACTACTCCGTGACTCCGTGGCAAAAAAAAAAAACATGGACCCTGAACACCTGAAAAAACATGCACGTTTCCACAAAGAGTTGGATTTTGAGACCCAGAAAACCCCCAATTGGTGGTGAATCTTGGTGAGGAAACAAGCCTCGATTTGGGAGCCATGACAGTTCATCACGAGTGGTCAAAAACCATCATTAAATCTTTCTTGACCTAGATCCAGAATCTCTTTCCCTCTTACAGTATCTGATGGCGCCATGAAAGCAACTTAGAAGTTCAAACAGCCCTTGAGGGGAGCCTGTGATGTGTAGAAATCCACTGTGAAGTTTTATCAATGCAGTCAACAATCGGATGATGGCCCGCCAGCGACCCGCCAGCGGCTCCTGGAACCCTTCTTCCAGCAATCTTGGCAAATCCAGCACTCCTCACAGTCCTGAATCCAGTCCGCAGCATCTTTGGGCCTGTTTATGAAAGTCTGGGATTTGGAGGTAATGTCACCCTCTGGTAATTTAAAGTAGCTATCGAAAATCACCATAGGTAAATCATCCCAAATCATCGAACTAAATGCGCCATCTATAGCAGTTCGCAAACTGTTAGTCATGACCAGAGGGTAACCTTGGATGAGAAGAAACCGGTTTTGCATTGGTGGTACCAAGCCGGGGTTGTTATACAAATGGCTTAAGGTCACACCCTTGATATCCTTAACTGGCTAGCTTGTAATGTCCACTCATCAACCATATGGGTGTGGCGTAGTTCTAATGGGTAAAATGAACATCAACCGCTGGATTTGGCCGGTTCCCCTAAATCTTGAGGTACCAAACCCTCATTTGTCATATGAAGTCAGTTATATCAGTTATATCGTAGATTTCATATGATTTCATATAGAATTCATAAAAGTCATAGTTGGATTTCCCCGTGACATTTTCAGACAAACCAAGATACCCTCTGGTAAACGTTAACAAAAACTATGGAAAGATCCACCATTTTATAGCTGGGAAAACTCACTATCTCTATGGTCATTTTCAATAGTTTTTTCTATGTTTACCAGAAAATCACAATTTTTGATGGGAAAATCCACTATAAATCACATTTTTCAATAGCTTTTTGTATGTTTACCAGAGGGTGGTTGGCGTTGGTTCCGTTCAACATCCCTTTCTCGGTCTCCTCGGCGGAGGGCCAAGGGCTGGGGATCTCACCTGGGGAAGTTATGCAAAACGCATGAGCTACGCCGCCCGGGTTTGTTCAAACATGGCTGGGAAATCCCCGAACGAAATGGAAATTCCAATGTTAAAATATGTTACCCTCTGGTAATTTAACATAGCTATTGAAAATCACCATTTTTAATAGGCAAACCATCTATAAATGGGCCATTTTCCATGGCTATGTTAAAATATGTCAAAATATGTTAAAATAAAATCATCTATGAATGGGTGACTGTCCATTGCTATGTTGGATTATCAGAGGGTACTTCATCAGACAAGAATGGAGATATGAGCCTCCATATACATCCCAAACATCAAACATCTTCACCAAAAGATGGATTGCAAAATTGTGGCATTTCATCAGCAAAAAAAGGAATATCTAAATCTAGATCCTTGAGAGATCCCGGGAGAATCTCGGATGGGTCACCCTGGCAGCCTGGCAGCCAATCACACTCCGTCCCTGTGTGGAGCACATCCAAATGTCCAGAAAACTTGCGACCAGGTGGCGACCATCTTCTTTGGCTACCCGCAAGGTGACATCATTGTGCATCTTGGCGCGCCGGGAAGAGGGTTGTACACCAGAATTCAGTGCCTGGACCAGGACTTTGCCTGTTTCAATTGTAAAATCATTGTCAATATGTGTCAATATAAGTATAACTATAGTTTATATGTGTCAATATGTGTCAATGTGAAGGTTTTCTTTGAGGTTGCATGGTGGGCTTCCATTGGCTTTACCGGGTATCAGGATCTACAGCGGAACATCTATAGAATCGACTATAGAGGCTGCTTCAGTCAATGTTTTCGACTGAAATGGGGATGGAATCCGAAACATATGAAACATGCGGCTCTTGGATCTCTTGGATCCCTTGGATCTCTTGGAAAAGAGAAAAACCATGGCCCCAAATCCATCCTCATCCACTGATCCACCTTCCATCCACCTCCCAGGACCTCCCCGGACCGGCGCCCGAAAAAAAGGGCCGGGCCTTCCACAGCCACAGGGCCGCACCATCAAGGTCATCCTTCGCCAGACTGCAACGCTCCAGCCTGCAGGTGGAATCCGCAAGTAATTCATGGGAATTCACCAGCCAAAAAAATGGTTGATGTGATTTTATTGAATGGATAATGTGATTCACTAGCAATTATTCTATCATATTTGATCTATCATATGATGATTTATGTACCCTCTGGTAATGACTAACAGTTTGCGAACTGGAAAATCACCATTTTTAATGGGTAAATCCGCTATAAATGGCCATATTCAATAGCTATGTTAGTTTACCAGAGGGTATATTTATGTGGGGTAAGAAGCCAGTCTCCCCGATGATCTTCCGATCTTCCCCACTAGAAGGGTGAACGAATTGAACGAATCTCACTTCTTCACGCTATTTCGCTTTCTGGAAAAGTGGAAGAGAGAATCCTGAAGTCATTCATTGTACCCTCTGGTAATTTAACATAGCTATTGAAAATGGCCATTTATAGTGGATTTACCCATTAATAATGGCCATTTTCAATAGCTATGTTAAATTACCAGAGGGTAGGGTTTCCAGTTGCAGGTTCCTTGAGCACTGACTCCGTCAATGGACAACACCCTTGAACATGGCAAAACATCCCAAGGGGGAAACCTGCTGGGTAGTTTCAAGCCGGTCAATAGCCCTAAACTAGCTGGAAAGTCTTTAAAAAGTCTGAAACCACTAAACAATACTAAACATCATAGCATATCATAGCATTACATGCGTACGGCTGTGCCGTTCCTTTCTGTTTTACATTTCCCCCATTCACAGTCTTGCTGAAAATGGGCAGCCGCACTTGCAGCCGTCGAAGGCCTCACCGATCAGTGCTTTGAGTCGGCTATCTCCATAGGCGTCTCCAAATGGGGGCCCAAAAATCTCCATTTTAATGGGCAAAACGGTGATCTTCCGGTGGAAGTGGGAGTCCATGTTCAGACATATCCGTATGGCCAGTCATATCTTGTCTCGATCATCATCGTTGATGTGTTATAACCATGCCCATGTTCATGAGATATCCCCAAAATTGTACCATGGCATTTATACTAAAATGTTGATCCACTTCTGTGTTGGTGTGTCTGAAAATGGGGTACTGTATATCCCAATTCATGGCAATTTTGAGGAAATGAATCGAAATGATATGTCTCTCAAAATCATGGGGTTTGGGGTTTCCCAGCTTCAGACTTAAATAGCCATGTTCCCAATGTTCTTTGTTAGCCATATCCAATTATACATCACGGTTTCAAAAAAACATCCAGGTCTCAAGTGCAATGGGATCCCCCGCCCAACATCTCCCAGCAGCTGTCCATGTATAAAATTCATCGGGAAGATGATGATAATTCATGGGAATTTGGTGGATTTTCCCAACATCCTTTGTTCGTCATATCATAATATCCAATAAGTCCCGTTCTCCCAACATCTTCCCAGCATTTTCCCACCATGTCCAATAGTTTTCAGTTCCATTTTCCCAGCATTTTACAAGGTGGTGCAGTGGTGCCCCATAGTTAGCTAAGTTGTTTTATAACTCCCATAACTATGGTTTATGGCAGATATAACTATAGTTAATGGGGTTCATAAACCAACTTATAACTGGGGGGCACCATCCTGTAGGTCCCAAACCCATTGAATTTCAGCCTCCAGGAAGTGCTCCCGGCAGTAGCCACAGCCAAAGAAGTTCTCCACGAAGCCGCGGACACGCAGCAGGAGCTCCTCGTCCCCATGGAAAATGATCAACAATCCAAGGGGACATAAGGATATAATATAAATCTGTCTGTATATGATTATTTATATATATATAAATTATATTATAGATTATATATTATATATTATATATTATATATATTATATATTATATTATATATTATATATTATATATATATTATAGATAAATGATAGTAATTTACTAAACTGAAATAATGCTTTTCTCTTGGGATAATTCCCCTTGGCATCATTCCAGGGTTCGGTCGCGACGTGAAGTCGTGATAGTTCCTAATTTTCCAGGTTTCTTGAGGCTTTTCAGAGAAATCTGGTTAATGCAGTTCAGACCTTCAGCAACAACAAACTTGGCACATTTCTGGGTATCACCAGGGTTGTTTGCGCAGATCCTCGCCAGCAGATTCAGACGAAGTACTTTTGGCCTATGCTCGGGGAGGCATGCCGTCATTGTCTCGATTTGAAGAAACTTGACCCAAAAGGATCTGAAGTGAATCCTACCGTAGTAATGTGGTAAGCCCAACAATAAACACCAATTGGGAATGGTATTATTGGGTTACCACATTAAACGGAGTTCAACACTCCTACGCGAGGTGACATGTTCTTTTCGTGGAGTTCTTCTGCCACCACCCTCTCTACATACAACATATGCAGGACATGTCGCACTGGTGCTGGCGATCACCTCTGTCAAAACCAAACTCCTCAACCATCAAGCAACCTATCTAATGTCAGAGATCAGCAATGCCAATGCTAAAATGTTTGGACATGTCTTAAATTGAAAAACATGTCTCGTGACAGTCGTTGTATTTGCTATGGTACGTGTCATCAGGATGTATACGATATATATATATAAAGCTCTTCACTTGATTAATTTGCATACCCTCTGGTAAACAAACATAGCTATTGAAAATGGCCCAGTCGAAATAGTTGATTTACCCAGCTATAAAATGGTGGATCTTTCCATAGTTATGTAACAGTTTACCAGGCCGGGTATCACTTATGTAATATCTGTACATCGTGAGGATCCTGAGGCTCCGGCAGCTTGACTCAGGAGGTGGAAGAGAGTCCACAAGCCACAGGTGAAACCTGCCCCGTCAGTTTCGAGGGGGGATTCCAAAAAAAAAACGAAGAATCCATGGAGTACCAGACTTGGTGAGGTGGTGAATTCTTTGCGGATAGAACTGCTGAACTAATGATGATTCTGATGATATTAGCGTGTTGTGAATTGTTTGGAGTACCGAAAGTGAGTGAGGTAAAGAATGAATATCGCGTCTGTCGTTTAGACTACATGTACTGAACATCACTTCAAGGAACATCTCTTCAAGTTGGATCCTTAGTTCAGAGACTGGACCGACTGTGCGAATCAAAATCACACAGCACTAGCTCCACAGTATGAACCAAACTGTGGAAGCCATGACATACCAAGACTCTGCCAATCATCGCAATAGCATAAAATACCCTACACAATTTCAATAATGATGGCTTTTGGGTACTTTAACCTACACTTAGCTTCTGGATATATGTATATAATATATATATGAATATCCAATAGCCACTATTCATCTTTTGGATATTTTTTCTGTAGCTTTAAATCTCCAAAAGCCGCACCATTCTCAGCCCAGCGGTGGACCTTGGCAGTGCCTCCAGAAAGCATTGGGCTTTAGACCTGCCTCAGCACCCGTGGAGCCCATGGCTGCCATGGAGACCATCTTAGATACCCCTAAGGGGATGGGTGGGTCAATGTTTACCGTTTATAATCAGTGGTACATTAGTTACAATATATGATATATATATATATATGCAAATATATATATATATATGTTTGTATCCAAATTCAATTTATATCAATTTGTATCCAATTTATATCCATGTATTATCCATGTATCTCTACGCGCAGACACCCCGTGTCGCCCAACATCACTTTTAGGTTTCAAGGTTTTCGGGTGCAGAATAAGTTTAGAATTAGGATTTTAGGATTTAGAATGATTTATATATGTGTGTAGGCTTTCAGGTTTTCTCTTGATTTTTCAATTGTTTTTGAGGTTTAGGGCTTACGGTTTAGGGTTTGAGGCTTTAACATTTTATGGTGTTAGGGTTCAGGATGACTTGTGGGACGCACAGGTCCCCTACCTCCGTTTTTCTCCATTGATGGCAACCAAAAACATCCTTCAAGCTCTACAGGTTGACCCGGACATTGGTGCCTCAGGAGGTATTCGATCCAGCCCCCGGTTGTCCATCAACTTTTCAAAAGCCTCCACAGATAGCCTCAAGGGACACAGGGTCACGACATCTTGCGACTGTCTTGTGGTGTTCGTATTCAAACCGTTGGCGTCAAAGCTGTATGGAAAATTGAGACCCTACTGTTAGGGTTTCAGGTCACGAAAAGAATGTTACCAGTATCGCCCTTGATCTCTGTCGAACCGAGCATGAGCTCTTGCAGAAGAAATGAATTCGTAATTATGTTGTGTTAGTGTTGGCAAAAGGCTTCATCGGCCAGAGTCATGGCTCAGTTTTGGAGGGAAAAAAACTTGCCAAAAGAAGAGGTGCTCTGCATCTGGCGTCCAACTCTTTCCAGTTATTTTTCTTCTTGTTTCTCACAACGCTTATTTTTCATGAGCTTTTTATGAGTTTTTCATGAGATTCATTTTCTATGTGTTTTTTAAGTGTTACTAAAAACTATATAAGATATTCCCACGGGTCAAGTCATGATTGCGACCAAACGGGCAATCCAATGTGACATACCAGGGTTGCCAATGTGCCATTGCTTCCAACCAATGTTGTTTAGTGCAACAATCGATCAATCAACCAGATACAGTAACTAACCAACGAAGCCACCAACCAGCCACACTCAGCCAAGCAACTTATCGTCCGCAGAAGCAACCGCCTGATCCACAGTGGACCAAAAGATATTGATTGGATCATAGCCGCACAAACCTCTGGAAACCTCATGATGTGATCTATATGACTCTATATGTTTCTAAAGGGACATGGATTGCAGTATGTTGTAGTGAATCCTTGAGTTGTCGCAAGTTTCTATGTGAGCAGTAGATGTCCATGGCTAACAAGTGCGACAAATATATATATATATATGTTACTCCCTGTTAGCTCCTGTTGGCTCATGGGTCTGAGGCATGGCATAGCGACAACATCAAGCCCATCTGTGCGTATACCTCGTTAATGCACGTGGCCAATCAATGGCTGCCATGGCTCAAAATTTCTGAAACCCAAACTGACCTAGTTCGATCGCGGTTCACGACAGGCACCGCATTTGCGGTCACCAGAGCCATTTTAGGTAGTCTCAAAGATCTCGAAGATCTGGGGGTAACCCAAAATTACAGCTTCAATTGGGGAAAATGGCTTTAAACTCTAGGCACATCATCGCCATTTCCCAAATCAGAACTACACACATCGAGGATCATCTTATCATTCACATGAGCTTTCCGTTACTTCTCATCAGTTTGATTGTTATTGTTCCCTTACAGTACATCCCGATGATACCATGTTCAGACACACCCAGTTATCATAAACATACAGTTATCATATCGCATTCTGTCCCAATATATTCCCATCATATTCCCAAGATGCCCCCAAATATATGTTCCCATGGAAAATTCCCATGGAAAACTCCCCACATATTGATGGTGAATGACCCGATCGATCGCGAGCCTCATGCAGAGCATCTGAAAGCTTTGCCACTGGACGGTGTCCACCGCCTCATGACATGACTGGGAGAGGCCCAGAGAAGTTCGGTAGATTGTGAAGGCTCTGAATTTGAGATTGAATGGGACATTTATGATAATTTCATGTAATTTCATATCATTTAATGGGATTTGATGGGATTAAAATGGGAATTTACAATCAGCAATACAGATTCCAGTCCATTCACCCTTTGGTAATCAATCATGGCCCGCTGTGGAACCCCCCGAACTCAATGCATATAAATGAAGGGTTTAATTAATGGGAAAACTATCGAACACAACGCAGGAGAATCCCCAGGCATATATTGAATAGATATCTGACCGGTTGATCCATTCATGATATTCATGGATAAATCTACCAGAATCCTACACAAACAATGTGACATCACAAAGCTACACAAACCTGACGATCCGAAACTACTAGTAGGGCTAGGTAGCCAACCACAGGGAGCCACTCAGCCGATCGCTCTCTAGCTTGTGTCGAGGACTTGAGGGGTCAGCGCCATGGAAAATCTGTGTCACTGGTGAAGTATTGCCCCTGTGTAGCCATGGCAAAATTGGCCGCCAAATGATATACTGTAATCACAACTTCCTAGATTCTACAAGGCAACAGCTCTCAGTATCAAGAATCGCCAAAGACGAACAGTGAAATGTCTCTCATAATGTACGAGTATGTGTATGTATCTGGGTAAATTATAATATTTCACTAACCTGAATTAAGGCCCATTTGGGGATGATTTCCCTTATTAACTATGATTCCAGTGAGGTCGCAGTGAGGTCGTTATAATTTACCCAGATGTATATATATACATATATATATATATATTATATACATACATACAGTACATACATACATACATGCAACATTATAAATATACATATATATATATGTATCATCGTATCCTAATGATGCTCTGCAAACCCCAGACAGGCCTGGAAAGACGCGCCCCAGGTAGTCCAGCCAGCCTTGGGTCCAGTGCTTTTTGGGCAGATCTTTCCCCGTCTTTTCTGGGTAAGGATTGTGGTTGAATTGCTTGAGGACTGTGGTTGAATATGTTTATTTGGTCGCTGGAGAATGGTTGAATACGTTTCCTTTGGGTGGTCTTTTCACCACTTGCAGACGGACAAAAGACCCAAGAATCCCCAAGAACTAGGTGAATCATGGTTTTTAGTCATCGTCAAAATGTTCTGGCCTGGAGATAGATAAGATAGAGCATCTCCTGTGCTAATTTGGCCATTCCCAAGAGCTGGATGGTTTGCTTCATGGGAAATCCATCTATAAATGGATGATCAATGGGGTACCACATCTTAGGAAACATCGATCTTTCCACAAAAAAAACAGTTCTGCTGCTCGCCGCAAAAGCACCACATCCAAACCTGGCGACTCATGAGTTCTGCCAATGGAGGGCCCTGCAGCGTCCCCGATTCGCCTGAATCGGATGTGGATCCAATGACAACATCCACAACATTCGACACAGGTCATGTTGACGATTGTGAAACACATCTATCTGGGTAAATTATAATATTTCACTAATCTGAATAGTTCGGCCATTTGGGGATGATTCCCCTTACTAACCATGATTCCAGGGTTCGGTCGCAGTGAGGTCGTGATCAAATTTACCCAGATCAAAAAATATTTTTTGGGCAAGTACTCTTGACAAAGGGCCACATGCAATGAGTTCATGTGAATTCCCCTAGACGTCTTGGATATGACCCATAGCAGGCCTTGGAGAAACACACCCTGTCGAAGGGAGTACAATACTGCTACCTGTGCACTGGGGAGTGGATGGCTGCTGAGTAGCGGCTCAACCATGACTATCCGAGACGACCATCAATGGATTGGTTTAAGGGAAAATCTACAGGAAACCATAGATTTTCCCATTAAATATGGGGCTTTCCTGTAAATGTTCCCGAGACCAATAAATCAACATCATTGAAAATATGTTCTTCAGAATCCTCGCTGTCATTGACATCAACTGGATCACTGCTGCGAAGCATCTTCATCTAGTTGGCAGTTCCACGTGCTGAAAGAATCAAAGAACTTCAGATACTACTGTACCCTCTGGTAATTTAACATAGCTATTGAAAATGGCTATTTATAGTTGATTTACCCATTGAAAATGGTGATTTCCATAGTTATGCTAATTTACCAGAGGGTAATCCCAAAATGAAGTGATGGAAAGGGAAATAAACTGCCAACCATCCTTGCATTCCATCACCATCAATTTCACCATCAACCAACCACCAGCCATGGCAAGAACCATCAATCAACAATCATCAATCAACAAGCAATTTCACCACCCAATTTCACAAATCATTTTCACCATGAACTTTCAACAACTGTCGTCAACCATCAATTTCTCACAAAATCACATTTTAAAAAAAATATATATAGCTGGATAGGTCGTATTTCTGATTCAGTCGCATACAAATCTACGGCTGGTTAGGTCCTATCTCAAAACAATCACACCAAAATCATAAATCTATATAGGTGTTTTTCATAAATATCATAAAACAGCATTAAAAAAAACATTACCCTCTGGTAAATTAACATAGACCCTGGCAGATAGGGGTTGGAAGACTAGTTTCCATTAAAAATTGGTGATTTTCAGGGTCTATGTTAATTTACCAGGGGGTAAAAAGGGAAAAAACGTGGATCAGTAGCACAAGATCAACCATCCAGAGGCTCCAGAGGTCCTCCGCATCTGCCAGGTGAAGCGCTGGCATGGCCTCTTGAAGCACCTCATGGAGGATGTAATGATAGATGTGGTAATATTTATTAATATCTATTAATATACCATATTGATTAACCATATATATATATATACCATATCTATACATATATATATATACACTATATACTATATTAATGTACCATATCAATATTTTGTACATAACGCAATATGGTATATACACTATATAGTTTGCGTATGCCATATCAAAATATACTATTGCTGCTATAATCTGCTATACTAATCTATATTCATGACTGTTGTATACTGAGACAAACGGTTATATGGCTATGGATCAATACCTATTAATACCATTTTTAATGGGATGAACATCCATTTACCAGCTATTTTGGGGTTCACTAGGGGTACAAGGTTTTGACCCATAGCCATATTGTGTTAGAGATTCTGTATGTTTTGTACATGGCTTCCACAGGAGGAAATCACATCTGGATGATGCCATCTGTGTAATGACTACCCTCCGATGTCAAACATTCGAAAATCCGCCATGGATGATTTTCCGAAAACTTGCATTTATAGGGGATACCCTCTGGTAATTTAACATAGCTATTGAAAATGGTGATTTATAGTGGAATTTCCCATTAAAAATTGTGATTTTCCATAGCTACGTTAAATTACCAGAGGGTATTCCCTTGCCATCCCTTGCCATTAAAAAACAAATGGTGCGATGATGTTGGCAAAAAAAAAATTGTGTTCATTTCGTGTTTGCGGATGACACAGCGGCCATCTTTGACGACACTCCACCTTGGACCGTCCACTGCGTGGTAAGACGCGATTGCTATCGCTATCGCTATTTGTGGAGGCCTGGAGGATCAGCCAGGGAGCAGCTTGCAGGGGCTGGGTAGCCTCACTGCAGTACATGTAGATATCTATTAATATATATATATATGTACATAATCAAAGGAAGTTTAGTGGGAGAAACTTCCGTGTTACGGACTTTTAGAATGTCAGGGAAAGAGTTAGTCAAAGAAAGAGTTAGTCAAAGAAAGAGTTAGTCAAAGAAACAGTTAGTCAGGGAAAGAGTTAGTCAAAGAAAGAGTTAGTCAAAGAAAGAGTTAGTTCAAAGAAAGAAGTTAGTCAAGAGAAAGAGTTAGTCAAAGAAAGAGTTAGTCAAAGAAACAGTTAGTCAGGGAAAGAGTTAGTCAAAGAAAGAGTTAGTGAGGGAAAGAGTTAGTCACAGAAAGAGTTAGCAAAGAAAGAGTTCGTCAGGGAAAGAGTTAATCAAAGAAAGAGTTAGTCAAAGAAACAGTTAGTCAGGGAAAGAGTTAGTCAAAGAAAGAGTTAGTGAGGGAAAGAGTTAGTCAAAGAAATAGTTAGTGAGGGAAAGAGTTAGTCAAAGAAAGAGTTAGTGAGGGAAAGAGTTAGTCAAAGAAAGAGTTAGTCAAAGAAACAGTTAGTCAAAGAAAGAGTTAGTCAAAGAAAGAGTTCGTCAAAGAAACAGTTAGTCAAAGAAAGAGTTAGTCAAAGAAAGAGTTAGTCAAAGAAAGAGTTAGTCAAAGAAAGAGTTAGTCAAAGAAAGAGTTAGTCAAAGAAACAGTAAGTCAAAGAAAGAGTTAGTCAAAGAAACAGTTAGTCAAAGAAACAGTTAGTCAAAGAAAGAGTTAGTCAAAGAAAGAGTTCGTCAAAGAAAGAGTTCGTCAAAGAAAGAGTTAGTCAAAGAAAGAGTTAGTCAAAGAAACAGTTAGTCAAAGAAAGAGTTAGTCAAAGAAAGAGTTAGTCAAAGAAAGAGTTCGTCGAAGAAAGAGTTCGTCGAAGAAACACGTAGTCAAAGAAACAGTTAGTCAAAGAAACAGTTAGTCAACGAAAGAGTTCGTCGAAGAAAGAGTTCGTCGAAGGTTCGTCAGGGAAAGGGTTAGTTAAAGCAAGAGTTAGTTAGGGCATTGATTGTTCCCGCAATGCAAATGGGATTAGTGGTGCTGGTGGATGAGTTGCCGATGGAGTTTTGAAGGAAGTCTCGCACGAAATGCGTTATTGAGAGATAGCAGATGCAGGAAACCCTATGTTTTTCCATACAAAGTCTGTCCCCGAACCTCGATGATCTACCTCTGCGGTGCGACGGGTGCGAGACGGTCTCGTGTGTGGTCGGATCATCTTCGGATCATCCTCGGATTGGTCTCGGATCGGTCTCGGATCGGTTCCGCATTGTAAATGGGGTTTCAATTGTTTTTCGTGCATGTGTGATCGACAGAATTCCATTGTGATTTGTAACTGTAGGATCGTTCCCGCATTGTAAATGGGGTTGCAAGTGGTGCTGGTGGATGAGTTGCCGATGGAGTTTTGGAGGAAGTCTCGCACGAAATGCGTTTTTGAGAGATAGCAGATGCACGAAACCCTATGTTTTTCCATACAAAGTCCGTCCCCGAACCTCGATGATCTACCTCTGCGGTGCGACGGTTGCGAGACGGTCTCGTGTGTGGTCGGATCGGTCTCGGATCATTCTCGGATCGGTCTCGGATCGGTTCCGCATTGTAAATGGGGTTTCAACTGTTTTTCGTGCATGTGTGGTCGACAGAATTCCATTGTGATTTGCAACTGTAGGATCGTTCCCGCATTGTAAATGGGTTGCAAGTGGTGCTGGTGGATGAGTTGCCGATGGAGTTTTGAAGGAAGTCTCGCACGAAATGCGTTTTTGAGAGATAGCAGATGCACGAAACCCTATGTTTTTCCATACAAAGTCTGTCCCCGAACCTCGATGATCTACCTCTGCGGTGCGACGGGTGCGAGACGGTCTCGTGTGTGGTCGGATCATCCTCGGATCATCCTCGGATTGGTCTCGGATCGGTTCCGCATTGTAAATGGGGTTTCAACTGTTTTTCGTGCATGTGTGGTCGACAGAATTCCATTTTGATTTGCAACTGTAGGATCGTTCCCGCATTGTAAATGGGGTTGCAAGTGGTGCTGGTGGATGAGTTGCCGATGGAGTTTTGGAGGAAGTCTCGCACGAAATGCGTTTTTGAGAGATAGCAGATGCACGAAACTCTATGTTTTTCCATACAAAGTCCGTCCCCGAACGTCGATGATCTACCTCTGCGGTGCGACGGGTGCGAGACGGTCTCGTGTGTGGTCGGATCATGCTCGGATCATGGGCGGATCATGCTCGGATCATTCTCGGATCATTCTCGGATCGGTTCCGCATTGTAAATGGGGTTTCAAGTGTTTTTCGTGCATGTGCGGTCGACAGAATTCCATTGTGATTTGCAACTCTAGGATCGTTCCCGCATTGTAAATGGGGTTGCAAGTGGTGCTGGTGGATGAGTTGCCGATGGAATTCCATTGTGATTTGCAACTCTAGGATCGTTCCCGCACTGTAAATGGGGTTGCAAGTGGTGCTGGTGGATGAGTTGCCGATGGAATTCCATTGTGATTTGCAACTCTAGGATCGTTCCCTCACTGTAAATGGGATTGCAAGTGGTGCTGGTGGAGGAGTTGCCGATGGAGTTTTGGAGGAAGTCTCGCACGAAATGCGTTTTTGAGAGATAGCAGATGCCCGAAACCCTATGTTTTTCCATACAAAGTCCGTCCCCGAACCTCGATGATCTACCTCTGCGGTGCGACGGTTGCGAGACGGTCTCGTGTGTGGTCGGATCGGTCTCGGATCATGGTCGGATCATGCTCGGATCGGTTCCGCATTGTAAATGGGGTTTCAACTGTTTTTCGTGCATGTGTGGTCGACAGAATTCCATTGTGATTTGCAACTGTAGGATTGTTCCCGCATTGTAAATGGGGTTGCAAGTGGTGCTGGTGGATGAGTTGCTGATGGAATTCCATTGTGATTTGCAACTCTAGGATCGTTCCCTCACTGTAAATGGGATTGCAAGTGGTGCTGGTGGAGGAGTTGCCGATGGAATTCCATTGCGCTTTGCAACTGTAGGATCGTTCCCGCAGTGTAAATGGGATTGCAAGTGTTGCTTCCTCTTTTGGCTGCATGCGTAATACTTATTGGAGTGGCTGCATGAAGGCTGCGACAGTGATTTGTCAGCAGATTTGTTCCATTTTGGGGCTAATGATTTTCCTTCTAAAAATCCTTTTAAAAAGTGCTTCAAAATCGTCTTTTTTTCGCTCTGGCGTCGAGATCCGGTTTTGGAGCTACAATTTCCGACGCCGTTGCGCGTAGTTCTATTGTGTTTTGGAACTCAATCTCTGCAGATCGCATTGTAATGGCTGCGTCAAGGTTGCTGCGTGCTGTGGCTGCATTCGTAATTCTATTGTCTTTTGCAGCTGGATCTCGTAAATCGTATTGGAGTGGCTGCATGAAGGCTGCGACATGGATTTGTTAGCAGATTTTCTCCATTTTGGCGCTAGCGATTTTCCTTCTAAAAATCCTTTTAAAAAGTGCTTCAAAATCGTCTTTTTTTCGCTCTGGCGTCGAGATCCGGTTTTGGACCTGCAATTTCCGACCCCGTTGCGCGTAGTTCTATTGTGTTTTGCAACTCAGTCTCCGCAGATCGCATTGTAATAGCTGCGTCAAGGTTGCTTCATGCTGAGGCTGCATGCGTAATAC